CCAAAGTGGCTAACAACACCACTCCATTATATGCTCACAACTCTGTGAGGTTGGTTAATCTGAGAGACTAGAGACCGGCCTAAAATCACCCAGACTTCCATGACAGAGTGGGACTTTGAAGCTGGGTTTCACATATCCTAGTTGGTCTAACCGTTACCCCTTGTTTGCTCGGTAAAGCACTGACTTATCTTTTGTTTCCTGTTTCTATGCTTTAGAAAATTTTTAAAAACTAGTAAATGACAACAGACCTTGCTCCATATATTACTTCATACTGTGTTTTGCCTACCTTCAGCTCTCCCTAAAATCCGGTGCATAACTGCAGTTGTAGATTCATAGGGAGAATCATTTTGTAAATCCACATAGCTTTCATTCCGCTGTCCCCGTCTTCAAGGCAAGAGGTGACATTTCAGTACATTTTGCTTTTTGCCTCCCTCTCATACTTGAAAAAACATGGCTTGAAATGAGTATCCTGCCACCTTGACTCCCAGCTGGGGAGAAAAGTGGGATATAAATAAATAAATATATGCACGATCCTTTCACCCCACTTGAAAACAGGTTTGGGGATTGCGCATGTAGTGATGGCCACAGGATGGGATAAACAGATTTAAAAGGGGATTAGATAGATTCATGGAAGAGAGGTCTATCAGTAGCTACTAGCCATGGTGACTGAGGGGAACCTCCACGTTCCGAGGCACTAATCCTCTGAATCCCAGAGCCAGGAGGCAACATCAGGGGATGGTCTTGGCCTCTAGGCCCTACTGTTGGCCCTCTAGAGGAACTGGTTGGCCACTGTGTGAGACAGGATGCTGGACTAGATGGACCACCGGTCTGATCCAGCAGGGCTCGTCTTATGTTCTTTTGTGTTTGAACTTGAAACTCAGAACTGCACTGTAAACAGGCACACCACACCAACATCTGGGTGTTCAAAGGATGTATCCGCTGTCCTGAGTTCCCTTGAAGGAAAAGCAGGACAAAAAATGTAATTGACAGATGCCTTGTGTGTGTAAAGTGCCATCAAAGCTATGGATGCCAGCCTCCAGGTGGGACCTGGGGATCTCCGAGAATTGCCACTCATCTCCAGACTGCAGAGATCAGTTCCCCTGCAGAAAATGGATGCTTTGGAGGGTGGACTCTATGGTCTTGTAATTCCCTGAGGTCCCTGTCCTCCCCAGGCTCTATCCCCACATTCCCAGGCATTTCCCAACCTGGATCTGGCAACCTCACACCCCCATCGGGTTTCCCAACCAGGGGGACCTGGCAACCCTAGCAAGTTGCAGCCTTCTTATGGTGACCCTGTAGCATTTTCAAGGCAAAGAGACCTTGAGGGGTGGCTTGCCATTGCCTGCACCTCCCTTGGGGGGTCCCATCCAAGTACTAACCAGGGCCGCCTCTGTTTAGCTTCCGAGATGTGATGAGATCGAGCTAGCCTGGCCTGGCCGGGTTAGAAAATACCAAGCGTGTGGATGTAAACCAAAGAATTCGCTTTGCTCAAGCAGTTAATCATTTCCTCCCCCCTTTTGGGAAGATGTGTAAATAGTCCCTGCACATGGAAATGTGCGTATATGGGGGAGGATTACTAGGAAAGCTGGACAGGATGGAGCAGGCAGGGCAAAATTACTCATATCCTCAAGCATGAGCACTTAGGGAGCCGCTCTCTGTAAGGTCTTTGGTCCAACTGCAAATTGCTCAGCTGAACGGCAGCTCTGCAATCTTTGATGTGAATCTGGAGTGTATCCTCTATGACCTAACTCCATGAGAGGGTGCAGCTAGACGTATGAAAAGCCTATACACTTCCCTTGAGCTGTGGCTCATCAGATCCGTGACAGATGGTTGGTGCAAAGTTCCTACGGATGGGTTCCCAGGGAATGGTGTGCTAAGCCTAGAAAGTCTTGTGTGAACTTTCTGCCTATAGATTGGAGAGTTGTCCTTTGGAGCGGGTCCCTCTGGCCTGGTCAGTTTTTCCTGCTGGTCTCCTACTTAAACCGTGTTATTACTGTGGTTTTATATCCTAATTTTTCACTTCTGGCTTGGAGGCATTTGATGATATTTTTTGTTTCCCCCCCCAAATATATTTTATTGTTTTTATTATAAAACAGAAACAACAAAAATATAAATTGAAATAAAATGAATCGGAAGGTTAACTTTCAACACAATATGTCTGAAATTTGATGATAATGTTCTGTAATTGTTGGCTGGCAACTGGAGTAAAGGTTACAGGCCAGTGTACTAGACTGCCAACTCCAACAAACATTGCCATGGATAACAATAAATCTTATGACACCATACAAATGTTGGGATATATATACATATACACACACACATACATGTACAGCCTACATGAGAGTCAAGTGTGGTATAGCGGTTAAGAGTGTAGGAATAGTATCTGGAAGACCCAGGTTCGAATCCCCCCTAGTGCCATGGAAGCTCACTGGGTGACCTTGGGCCAGTCACAGTCTCTCAGCTTAACTGGCCTCAGGGTTGTTGTAAGGAGAAAATAGGGAAGAGAATGATGTAAGCCACTTTGTGTCCTCATTGGGAGGAAGTGGGGATACAAATGGTAATAAATGCCACTGCTTGCATCTAACAGAGTGGGTTGTGGCCTATGAAAGCTTATACCACTATAAATGTGTTTATCTGTAGAGTGACACAAAGCTTCTCCTTGCAACATCTTAGCGGTTACCTCTCTGGGATTTCCACACTCTGGCATGATCCCAAATAAGCCGAAACTAACCATCTTGTAAAAGCTTATCGGGAAATAAAATAGTTGGTTAGCATCACCTCCAAGTGATCACACAGGGATGTTTTTGTACATTAGAAGGGAAAACACTCTTATGTTGTTAATGTACTGCAAATTAGCAACATGGATATGCACAGGCGAGGGGGCTACTAAAATGTAGGTTGGTAACTGGTTATGAGTTTATTTACAACGGCTTACGTTCGAAATAATGTTTTCTCTGTTATACAAATTAGCTGCTTTGTTCACAACACGGGAAAGACCTAAATCAATCCCATACTTAGTCCATTAGTCATCTGAACTATACAGATGACTGAAACACAAAAATACTTCATTCTGAATCATGTTCGCTCTATGTACTTTTACAGATTTGTACATATATAAATGCCTACTGAACTGTTATCTTCAATAAGGCTTCTCAATAAAGATATATCAAAGAAAAAGTATATACCGATGGAGCAACTATTTTTGCATTTGCCTGATGTACATTTATTTCAACATCTTCAAAGAATCACAGTAGGAAAGTACATGACATTGATGCACAGCAGCATATGGATTATAATGTACACAAGCCTTTGCCTGGACGTGAATAAGCTTCCTTATGTATGCACAGAGCAGTTCCTCCATTGGAGTGTACGAGGGCCCCTTATGGCCTGGAGAACTCCATGTACCCATGAAGCCCAGAAAGCTTCTGTGGTTTGGGGTAACACTCATCCACATGTACTTCTTTCTGTGATGTCACAAAGTAAGGTCTGGTGCATCAAAGCAGGGAGTTTACCAGCACACAAGGCGTACTCCAGAGTTTTATTTTTTCACAATGTAAAGTATTGGGAAAAAATTATCACAAGAGCGTGGGAAATGAATCTTGCTATTTAGCAGTAATTTTGCTTGCTACCATTACCACATCAGTACACCATGCTTTCACCATGAAAAATAAAGCTGTCTGTTACACGAGGATATAAAGAAGGGGCAGGGAACATGTCACTGAGCTATCATTTTGTGACTTGTCTGCAGGGGTCGTTTTGTAGAAAAAGAGCTAGGGGATCTCATTAGCATAACTCATTAGCATATGCCACACCCCCTGACATCACCGGAAGTGTGTCATAAGGCCACACCCCCTGACATCACCGGAAGTGTGTCATAAGGCCACACACCCCGCCCCCAACGGTCCTGGCCGCCGCCGCCGGCCTTGCATCTCCACTGCCGAGCCCCATGAGGGGCCCGGCGGTGGACCTGCAAGGCCGGCGGGTGTGCAAGGAAGCCCCAAGAAGGCCCTCCCTGGCCCCAGGTAGGCAGGGATGGGGAGAGGCAGGGGGGAAGCAACTTACCCTCCCTCTTCTCCTGCCTCCTCCTGGCTGAATGAGGGCCGGAAGCGGGGCGACTGGAAGCAGGGGGCAGGGCTTCGTCATGTGCCCCGCCCCCCATGCCTCACCCGGGGGAACTGCGATCCCCCGCAAAATGACCTCTGTTTGTCTGGGTCTCTATGATCTCCACCAGGGTGAGGCGTCTGATGTTAACGTACTGAGCAGGGTTAGAGAGAGGGGGCCCTTGTTAAAAACAGATGGGGAGCCGTTGGAAAACTGCATGGGCATGTTGTTGTTGCTGCTGTTGTTTTAAATTAATTTGCAGCTCATCTTCATGAATCATGCCAAACTACACGAGATCAACATGCTGCACATCTCACAATGGCATTCATATTTATATTCCAAAATGATTAGCAACTAAGCTTTAACAGACGCAAGTCAGCCCATCAAAAAACTTGATAAAATATTTTTTAAAAATCACAAAAGTTGAGAAATATGAAATCCAGCTGCTTTTTACCTGTTTTCAGCCCTTCAGGATCTTTGCCATCCCATATGTCATCACCAAACATTTATTTTGATGTAATTCTCCGGATTTTAACGGGGGCCTGTTGGCTAAGCTAGAGACTCCCTAGGCAGCCCGGAACCCACCTGCCCCTACCCTGTGATTGGATACATCTTCACAAATACACAGCCACACGAAACTGCCTTATACCTAGTCGTACTTGGTCTATCAAGGTCAGCAATGTCTGCTCAGGCTGGCAGTGGCTCTTCAGGTCCTCAAGAAGAGAACATTCACATCACCCCTTTTCTCTTAAACAGCAATGTCATGGATTGAACCAGCAACTTCTGCATGCAAGGCAGATGCTCTACCAGTGAGCCACAGCCCCTTCCCATTAATAATCTGTTATATACACTGGCCTCATGCTCCAACACATGATACAGCTCTTTGGCATGCAAGCATTTTAGCAGGGGCAATGCTCTCCGGGCGAGTAAGCACGCTCCAAGGTATGTACAGCATCTGGAACGTATTCGGTTTTCACCCCTTCCCATCCATCCTGCGCCGTAATCTCTCCATTCTTCACAAGTTCGTATATATCTGTCGTCAGAACGGTAAAAGACTCTTCCACGTTTGTGGCATCTTTGGCTGAGGTTTCTATGTATCTCATGCCACAGGCAGAAGCCAGTTCTTCTGCTTCCTCTCTGGAAACTTGACGCTGGGACTCCAAGTCACATTTATGTCCGACCAAGTTAAAGACCAGCTGGAAGGGGTCCGCGTGCATTTTAGCTTCCTCCAGCCAATCACGCACATGATCGAAAGAAGAACGATTGGTGATGTCGAACACCAGTAAGCCTCCTACTGAATGTCGGTAATAGGACCGTGTGATTGATCTGTAAAAATTAAAGGGGGAGAGAGAAACTCAACAGGGATGCAACTGGTGGTCTTGCATTTACACTGAATATCAAGACCTATTGTAATAAACCACAGTCTTGGAACAGAACAAAACAAAATTATTTTCGTAAAAAAAATAGTAAAATCTGGTTCTTTTTTGCATTGGCCAACTTCTTTTAGCTAAGCATGACGCAAGTCACATTCCAAAGACTTTCCTCCATGCATGAATGAAAGAGTATGGGTAGTCTCTCTGCGCCTGGCTGGAGTTTTGCCTCTAGCCTGCTGAGCTGAATGAAGGCAGATGAGCAGCTAGTGAAAGGCAGACAGGATTGTTGGCCTGGCTCTTTGCCATAGCCAGGACTTCAGGCCCACATGCTCTGATGCGGGACTCTCAAGCTCCTGATGCTTACGCTACCAATGGCACCAAAATGATTTAATTTATTTAAAACATTTCTAAGCAGCCTTTCCCCCCAAACATGGTCCACAAGGTGGTGAACATCAAAACACTTCAGCATTAAAACATCAAGATATTAAAAACAGCATTTAAAATTCAAGTGTATGTAACATATTTTTTAAAAATTAATAAAACGTACAAACACACAACACACGTAACACAACTAGGGAGGAGAATCAATAACAGTTAGTGGGGGGATGACTACAGGATGACCACCCAATGAAGTCCACAGGCAACAGATTCAGGAAGGACAAAAGGAAATAGTTCTTTACTCAACGAATAATTGAATTGTGGGATTCAGTCCCAGTAGATTTAGCCATAGTTTCCTGGCACAGATGGCTTTGAAAGGGGATTTGACAGATTCTTAGAGGATACGTCCATCAGCGGCTACTAACCACGGTGACTAAGGAGAATCTCCACATTCAGAGGAAGTAAATCGCTGAACACCAGTGCTAGGAGGCAGCATCAGGGGAAGGCCTTGGCCTCAACACCCTGTTTGTTGGCCCTCCAGTTCATCTGGTTGACCAGTATGTGAAACAGGATGCTGGACCAGAAGAACCACTGGACTGATCCAGCAGGGCAGTTCTTATGCTCACCCATGCAACAGAAAGTTCTGGTAGGCTCCCAGCTCTCATGATACAGGGAGGACAGGAATTTTCAGGATACAGGAACTTGTGAATATAATAGGGAACACTTAATGTTTGTAGAAACTACTACATATTAGATCCTCACTGTAACTAATTCATGTTTCGTCATGCACCTCAAAAGGATCTTGGTCAACATTTTGAAAACCCAAGCCCTCGTGTCATGTGATCTGTAATATACATTAAGATTCTAAACTCAAATTGCCAAGTTATATCCTTCGAAGCCAATTGACTTCAATGGACGCAGACGGACTGCCCTTTCAGAATGCATTGGTGGACTGTGCAGATTCTAGAAAACGTTCAGAGGTGGTTTGCCATTGCCTGCCTCCACATCACAACCCTGGTATTCCTTGGAGGGATCCCATCCAAATAGTAGCCAGGGCTGACCCAGCTTAGCTTCCAAAATCTGATGAGATCAGGCTAGTCTGTGGGCTATCCAGGTCAGGGCTATTCTTGTTTTACAGATGAGGAATAAAGGATTGGTACCAACTCACAGTCTGAGCACTTGAAAACAGTAGGGTTGCCAGCTCTGGCTTGGGAAATTCCTGGAGATTTTGTGGGTGGAGCCTGGGAAGGGCATGATTTGGGGAGGGGAGGGGCCTTAATGGGGTATAACGCCATACAGTCCACCTTCCAAAGCAGCCATTTTCTCCAGGGGAACTGATCTCTATAACCTGGATACCAGCTGTAATTCTGGGAGATTTCCAGCCACCACTTGGAGACTTGCAACCCTAACAGCCACTTCCGTGCTATGGGGAGGGGGAATTGCTTATCTTCTTCAGGAGAACAAATATAGCCCAGGTGTGACAGGGTAGCCAGTGAGGCCATCCTGGCTCTTGATAAAAGGAACCGGGGAGAGGGGGTGCAGAAAATGGCACCTTACCAGATCCCAGGGCTGCTTTTTGTTCTACAGTTGGTGCAAGGAACTTGCTGGGGAGGCAGAAATGTCAAAGTGATTCAGCATCACTGAGCACAGAGGAACCCTAGGGTTTTAGAACATATGGCCTGCAGGGTTCAGTTGCTGGCATCTCCAATTACAGAGGACACAGAATGGTGAAAGACTCCAGCCTCAGGCCCAGAAAAGCTGACCCCAGAAAAGTAAAAAAAGTACAAAGCTAAATAAACCAGTAAGCAGCTCAGGGCAGCATACATCTTTCTCTCCTCCCTCATTTTAATCTCATAACATCCCCTCCCTATCAAGTAGGTTAGTCTGAGGAGAAAGTGACTGACACACAGATACCCAGCAAGCTTCATGGCCAAGTGCGGCTTCAGAGGGCAGCCATGTCGGGGGAGCTTCCAATCGCTCCGGGAGCCGGCTGGGGATGTGTGTGCGCGCGCGCAAAGCGCACGCGCGCTTCCGGATCGTCACCCAGAAGTGACGTCACACGCTGGGGGGGGGCACGCCATTTGAGGGGAAAACTCGTTGTTTTCCCCTCAAATGGCGTCGCCCCGCCCCCAGCGTGCAACGTCACTTCCGGGTGATGCACACACGGGGGTGGGGGTTCCCCCGGGCCCCGATTCCGCGGGAGCGGGAATCGGGGCTCGAAACTGGGGGGAATTCCGCCCCCGGGGGGATTTGGGAACCCTAAGTAGAACAGCTAGACTTTAGTCCAGTGGGATCTTAGAGATCAACAAGATTTTCAGGGCATAAGCTTTCAAGAGTCAAAACTCCCTTGATCAGATAACGAGTCAAAATGGAGATCTCTGAGTCAGTTCAACTGCACAGCTATGGGCACCCAGATGGCACCACAACATGCCAACTTTTTCATGGCTGACCTAGAGCAGCACTTCCTTAGCTACCTTCGCTTAACACCCCTCTTTTCATCACTGGAACACATGGGAAAGAAGCCCTGGAGAAATTTCACCAGGCCTTCAGCGACAACCATCCCACCATCAACCTGACCATGAACTAACCCACACAAGAAATACATTATCTAAACCACTGGACAACATGGGCTCCGGTCACATGGGCCGGAAAATGCAGGGGGAAGTGTGGCTGTTTGCCCCGGAGCAAAACAATGCACGGTTGTGCGATCAGACGTCCCGTCGAGGTTCCGTGTTTAGGGGGGAGGTGCCAATCACATGACCATCCTGCAGCGCGGCAAAGAAGCGGCGCGGTGCGATCACAGCAGCAATGGCTAGGCGCTGCTGCCGTGGTAAACAGGGTTGTGTATTTTTTAAAACTGCAGTGTGCGCATGCGCCGTTGGGTGCTTGTGCGCATCCCGTGGAGACTTGGGGGGAAAAAACTTTTCGCGACGGGACATGGGCGGGCGCCGGATGCCACGAACTACCACCGGAAATGCGATCAGACGCCCACCCTTGCCCCACGGTTTCCGGAAACTAGTACCTCGGAAGTACTAGTTTTTTACAGCGCGTCTTCGGCGGGAAGCCTCGGGTTAGCCACAGGAGCTCTACGCTTCCCAGATGTTGCGGTGAGATCACGCCTGGAAAATCCGCCTATCTTCTGTCTCTATAGCGTGGCTAATGCTCCGTGTGACCACAGTCTACATGATGGAAGCATAACAACCACCTCATACCAGAAACATACTGATAGCCAAAGATATCTACACACCTACACTCACCATCCTAAATACCCCAAACAATCCATTATCTACAGCCAAGCTCTACGCTACAGCTGCATCTGTTCCAATCCCTCAGACAGAGATTCTCACCTTCAGGATCTACAACATACATTTTTGGAATTACAGTGCCCACCTGATGTAGTAAGGAAACAGATCAACAAAGTCAGAAGGATAACCTGCTACAAGATAGGCCCAAACATAATACCACTAACTGTCACATACAGCTCTCAGCTGAAACCAGTTCAATGCATCATTAATGTTCTACAACCTGTGTTAACAATGATATTCCTCTCACACAAGCATTGGGAGCCAAACCTTTTCTTGTCCACAGACAGCCTCCTAACTTTAAAAGTCTCACCCACAACAATGCCCTTTCTAACATGGATATGGACTCTGGGACCACAGCCTGCAACAAAATAAGATGCTAAGTCTGTCCCCATATTCAGGTTCTTTCACTCGTTCATCTTCCAACATTATAAATGCCATCAAATGTCAGCAATGCCCTTCCACTCTGTACAAAAGACAAACAGGTCAGTCCCTAGGCAACCAGGGCCAGGGCCTTCTCGGTGGCGGCTCCATCCTGGTGAAATGAGTTCCCGGTAGAGATTAGGGCCCTGTGGGAACATCTTATAGTTTTGCAGAGCCTGCAAGATGGAGCTCTTCCACCAGGCATTCAATTAAGGAGCTGCACTACACACCGGGGAGTGTCCCTGCCTGTAACCTGGGTCCTACCATCCTGGTTCCTAGCCTGTGCTCACCACATAATAAATGAGAACTGTGCTGGTGTGAAAGTATTGACATCCAACAGGCACCTATAAGAACTGCTGCGCTTGTTGCTTGAGTATGTTCCAGTGTTTATGTGTTTATGTTTTAAAGGTTTGTTATTTTAAGTAATTTATAAGCCTCTGATAGGTTTTTATTGTATTTAATTGTATTTTATGAACTGTTGTAAGCCGCCCTGAGCACGCCTCGGCAGGGTGGGCAGGGTATAAATCAAATAAATAAATAAATAAAATATAGCCAAAAAAAATAAATGGATATAAACCTGACATTAAAAACTGCAGGACTCAAAAAACAGTGGGAGAACATTTTAATATTCCAGGACATTCCATTGCTGATCTAAGAGTGGCAGTGTGCAAACAGAGAAGCTTCAAGGGGACTGCTGGAGTTCAGAACAATGCCCCCACCCCCCCCCCCGGCTGAATAGGGACATAGGATTCTTATCTCACTACAGATGCTAATTTTCTGCACCCGAGCATTTCCACTCTGCTCTAATCAAACTAATTACAATGAGCATTGTCCCTCTGCATCCTGAGTT